TATATGTATATATATACATACTTTAGAAGTGATATAAAAAGTGATGCTTTGCTTTAGTAGGTAACAAACAAAAAATTGGATTGTAGTGAAGGATGCAAGTTGAAGGGCATTAGGAGATAATAGATAGCTACCATAATGATATTCATAATTTTTTATATTCTGGAACCCAATAATGTAAAGTACAAGATAACTTTGGTCCATAGAGTAACTCTTGATCCGCTTATTACTTACAAAATTTTCCAACTTTCAAAATCTTCTTTTGAAGTTTTGTTCTTAAATTATTCTCGTCAACCTATTTTTTACACAATGAAAAAAAGTTTACACCCCAATCAAAGATAGCAATTCTAACCATAATTACTGTCCCTTCAGAAAAGAGATAGAGAGTGTCATGGGAAGGGAAATTATAAGGCACTTAATTTAGAAAAAAAAAAGAAATTAAAGTATACTCTTATATTTTATCTATCACAAGATCTCTTCAACCCAATAAAAAATAGGAGATAAACAGAAAACAATGTGAATTTTTGTAGTGAACCAATGTTATAAACGTATTTGGATGATGGCTGAAATTACTTTTAATAAGAAGAATAGCAAAAGGATATTACTCCATACGGATGACACTCCCTATCATTATTGGCTTGTAAGCCTTTTAAATAAATAAAGTTATAAATTCCAACAGTTGAAAAGAAACAATATTTATTTCTAAAAAGTCCCTTTTCAAAAGGGTATGAACGCTGACCAAAGCAGTTCTATGGGAATGAAGATTGAAGCAAAATCCACCACTACTATAACTGATGACAAAGATTAAATTCACACGGTGTAAAACCAACCATAAACTGAATTTCTAACCACAACCAAAATGTAGAAAATCTGTTATCTTTCTCTCGTCCAAACTCTTCAAGGATAAAAACTTGGAGCAAAGAAGAGACAGAGAAGAGATAGAACAGTGATAAACAAGTATTTTTTGAAATATATTACTTGGTGTTGGTGGCGCTATGGTGAGGATCGACAATAGGTCAGCAACTCGAGGATAGGGCGGCAACAATGAGAACTTTACAGGGGTTGAGGGATTTTATTTTTCTGAAGTGTTTTTTTTAAGTTTTCCCAACTTAGACAGGAGAAATTGGAGGGAATGGGTTATTTTAGTCAAAAAATTTGGAGGGAAATATAAGAATAATAAAAGTTGCTTTTAATTTTGGCTATTTATATTTATTTGCCACTACAAAGGTATGTAATAGCGTCTGATGCCTATTTGCCGCTAATATTTTCGTTTACAAAATAATTTAGCAGCCATTCTTTTATTGCTGCCAATTAAATGCCACTAAAAGTCTCTTTTGTAGTAGTATCTTGATTTATTCTAAAAATCTAGATGAGCATGTGGAACACTTAAAACAAGTTTTTGAAGTTCTCAGAAAGCAACACTTGTTTGCTAATCTTAAAAAGTATACTTTTTGTGTGGATCATGTGGTATTCTTGGGTTTTGTCGTTCTCTAAGGGAGTTGAAGTTGATGAAGAGAAAATCAAGGCAATCAAAGAATGGCCTAAACCTAACAGTGTAACTGAAGTTAGGAGTTTTCACGGGCTTGCTAGTTTTTATAGGAGATTCGTTAGAGACTTTAGCACAATTGCTGCTCCTTTAACTGAAGTTGTTAAGAAAGATAAGGTTTTTTCATGGGGAAAGAACAAGATGGTGCTTTTAACTTGTTGAAAGAAAAATTGTGTTCTGCTCCTCTTTTGCAATTACCCGATTTTTCTAAATCTTTTAAGGTTGAATGTGATGCCTCTGGAAAAGGAATAGGTGCTGTTTTGATGCAAGACTGGAAGCCCATTGCATACTTTAGTGAAAAGCTGAGTGGAGCTACACTGAACTACTCAACTTATGACAAAAAGCTATATGCTTTGGTAAGGGCTTTAGCTACCTGGCAACATTATTTGTGGCCAAGAGAGTTTGTGGTTAAGACTGATCATGAATCCTTGAGATATTTGAAAAGTCAAGGTAAGCTTAATCGTCGCCATGCAAAATGGGTTGAATTCATTGAAACTTTTCCATATGTGATTGCTTACAAGCAAGGAAAAGAGAATATGGTTGCTGATGCACTTTCAAGAAGTTATGTCATGGTTTCTTCTCTTACTTCTAAATTGATGGGTTTTGATCAAATCAAGAAACTTTATTCTAATGATTCTGATTTTGGCAAGGCTTTTGCAGAATGTAAGTTGGGTCCTTATGAGAGGTTCAATCTTCAAGATGGGTTCCTTTTTAAGGAAAATAAATTGTGTATTCCTAATTGCTCTTTGCGTGAATTGTTTGTTAGGGAAGCACATTGTGGTGGACTCATGGGACACTTTGGAGTGCCCAAAACTTTGGATATACTTGCTGAATATTTGTTTTGGCCTGGCATGCGAAAGGATGTTGAAAAAGTGTGCTCTCAATGTCTTGAATGTAAACAAGCCAAATCAGAAGTGTTACCACATGGTCTTTATACTCCTTTACCTGTCCCTACTTCTCCTTGGATTGATATTTCTATGGATTTTGTGTTAGGACTTCCTAGAACTAAGTATGGTAAGGATAGTATGTTTGTGGTAGTAGATAAGTTTTCAAAAATGACTCGTTTTATTCCATGCTTGAAGACTAATGATGCGTTACATGTAGCTGATTTATTTGTGAAGGAAGTGGTTAAATTACATGGCATACCTAAAACTATCGTTAGTGATAGGGATGCTAAATTTTTAAGTCACTTTTGGAGAGTTCTTTGGGCGAAGTTGGGAACTAAATTGCTATTTTCTACATCTTGTCACCTACAAACTGATGGGCAAACTGAAGTAGTTAATAGGACCTTAGGGAATATGTTGAGAGCTGTTTTAAAAGAAAAATTAACTTCTTGGGAAGAACATTTGCCCATGGTAGAGTTTGCCTATAATAGAACTATCCACTCTTCTACTGGTAAGTCTCCTTTTGAAGTTGTTTATGGATTCAATCCCCTCACTCCCCTTGATTTGTTGCCTTTGCCTACGAATGACATTATTAATCTTGATGGTAGGAATAAGGCTGAAATGATGAAGAAGATTCATGAACATACAAGGCTTGCAATTGAAAGGAAGAATGAACAAACTGCCTTAAAAGAAATAAGGGGCGAAAATCTGTCATTTTTAAGCCTGGAGATTTAGTTTGGGTGCATTTTAGGAAGGAAAGATTTCCTACCAAACGAAGATCCAAATTAGATCCAAGAGGAGATAGGCCATTTGAAGTCCTTGAAAGGTTGGAGACAATGCTTACAAACCTGACCTTCCTAGTGAATATCAAGTTAGTGCTACCTTCAATGTTTATGATCTTTCCTTGTTTGATGCAGGCTCGAATTCGAGGACAAATTCTCTTCAAGAAGGGGGGAATGATAGCATTCATGGCAGCTCAACATCATTAAAGGAGAAGGATGAAGCTCTGGAAGCTCCAAGAATGCCCATGACAAGGTCTCAGACAAAGAAATTTCAAGACAAGCTTAATGGGCTTCAATTGGCAATTAAAAATTGTCTTATAATAGAAGAAGAGCTCCAGCATAAGAAGGATCTTTGTGCCAAGTCTTACAACTATTTGGAGGCCCAAATTAAAGTCCAAGAGGAGATGGAGGCTCAAATATGCCCCAAAAGAGAGGAATTTTCAGCAGCCCAAATAAGCCCAAAAATAGTTTCTAGAATGTATATTTAATAGTTGTTTTAATCTATTTTGACTTGCATTGGTATAATGTGTATGTTGACTACATTGGTCTTAGTGTGGGTAGTCTTCTATGCTTCTAGGGAATATAATTCTCATTTATTGAAGTCTTGACTAGCTCCTTCTTTACTACTATATAAAGGGGTGCTTGTCTTCCATTGTAGAGGACATTGAAGATTAATATTATTATTGTGAGTTCTTTTGAACCTTTGTGAACTTTACTTTGAAGATTTATCTTGCAACCCTAACTAGTTCATAGCTTAAGGTAGAAAGATAATTTTCTTTCTTTTGATATTCTTCGAAGGCGACTAGTTTCTTTTACTAGTCGTTGTCGTAAGTTATTCAAACTAGAAGTCAAGATCCGAATCTAGTTCTTGATTAGCTTATCTCTAGTGAAGGCAATTGGTTTCATAACCAACTTGTTGTCATTAGGATCTTGTCAAAATCTAGATTAACATACTCTTGGGGTTCTTGGACCTTTCCTTGAATTTCGACATATCTAGTTTATTTTTCTTGCTTTTCTTAATCCGCTTGCATTTCTTTACTACTTCCGCATTTCATCAACTTATTTTCTTCAAGTTCTTGGACCTCCCAGCCTTTGTGTTATCAGAAGGCCATTCAAAGCTTTGCTTTCGAAAATATGATTTTTTTTTAGTTTGTTAGTTGTTTGGATTGGGTGTTGTTCCAATTTATTGCAAATATCAAAAGGAGTTCAGGATTTAAATTTGAAGTGATTTGGAGTAGATTTGAGCAAGATTTGAGTTAAATTTCAGAAAAGACGCAAGGAAGAAGACGAAGTCATTTTTTTGTATAATCTTGTATAATAATGTATATGAGTATATAAACACATCTTATACACTATTATACACCTTTAGACAAACGTCCCTAGACGAACTTCTTCCACAATTTTCAGTTGCAATTCTTGTTCAAAAGCAGTCCAAATCTCCATTAAATGACTTCAAATTTTATATACAACCTCCTTATACTATTTCTAACAAGTTTAAATAATACCCACACCAAAATCCTTACGAAATCAAATTTGAAATTTAAACCCACATATTTAAGCTTGTTAAAAAATCTAATTTTCACTACCCAAGTGGATTTGGTTTGTTGAACTAATATTTGAGTCACAGTTACTGATACAAAAGTTAACTTAAAAGCTTGAGCAATCTTTTTTTAAAATTAAATAGTAATTTCGAGAATCTATTGAAATTGAATATTGAGTATTAGCCTATTATTTGTGTGTTAGTTTTGTAAATTAGAATATGAGCTATCAAATTGAAAAATAGGGAGTCAAGTTGTTGTTGCGTGAAATTTTCCCATGATTAAATTCTGTGTTCCCTTAATTACCCAACATTATCGGGCATTTCCTGGTCTTCCACCTCCACCGTGTCGGTTCATTCTTCGATCTGAGCTCCAATTATCATCTCGCCGGAGCTTCACGTTAGCATACAGCTGAATTATCATTTCTTTATCTTATTTGTAATTTCGTTATCATTATCAGGTACGTTTCAAAAGTAAAAGTCGGATCTCATTCTTTTTCATTATCATAGTTCCCGATCTGTAGAATAATTTTTTTTTGAATCGAGACCCAATAAAGAAAATATGAATTCAAATTACGGGAAATCAGGTAGTAGTTTCGATTTTGATCTGGGTTTGAACTCGGGTGGGTCTCGATCTAGTCTGAACGATCAGAAGAATAAAACGTCGTCGTATTCGTCATCTTCATCATCCTATACATATTCGTCGAAACCGAATTCTGGATCTTCATGGACTCAGCCCAACAAATCAACATGGACTCACCAACCAGTCGGGTCATTATCCGGCCCGAATTCAATGGTCGGTGACATATTTGGGAAGAGTTGGGGATCATCTTCAGCTGCTCCTTCAAGCACTAGCAATGTAACCTCAACTATTGGGATTGCTAACAAAAACCCTAATTTGTTTGGTGATTTGGTGAGCTCAGCATTAGGAGGAGGAAATAAGAGTAATAGCAATGTCCCTCTGAAAAGTGCTGCCCCAACTGCTAATAAGAGCACGTTCTCGATGGGTGGTATGGCTGATAATTTGCCAATGAGTGGCAATTCTGTGAAAACTGGTGGTAGCTGGGGTAATGCTGGTGGTTATAATGCTAATAGTTATATTGGCAGTGTAAATTTGAGTGGTGGTAATAGTAAAAGCCCTAATCTAGGAGGTCCGTCTTTGAAAAATATGGGTGGAAGTGGAGTTGGAGGAGGAAAGGGTGTCAATAAGGACCCTTTTGGTTCGTTGGTTGATTTTTCGTCTAAGCCTGGTCCTGATATGAAGTCGGTTAGTAAAGAAACTAATAAGAAAAGTTCAGGGGATGATGTGTTTGGGGATTTCCAAAATGCTGCCAAATCAGGTGGATCAGGATGTCAATCGGACCCATTTCCTACAAGCAATGTTAATGCTTCAACAGGGTCGAACTCAGGTGGCGCTTATTCCAAAGTAGATGATTTTGGATTCACTAATACTCAGAGTCAACCCTCTGGTACTCAGTCTTCAGGTGTTGGTGATTTTGGATTTACTAATACTCAGAGTCAACCATCGGCTACTCAGTCTTCGGGTATTGGTGATTTTGATTCACTGTTTTCATCAACTAATGCTTCATTCGGGAGAGCTGCTGGAGGAGGGAGTGAGAACCAGCAGTTTACAGGGGGTGATGATTGGGGGTTTGAATCGGAGTTTGTGGGTGCTAATGATAGCAGTGGGACAACTGAACTTGAAGGACTTCCACCACCACCTGCTGGTGTTAGTGCTTCCACGGCCAAGAACAAGGGAATGGATAATCACAAGCAGGGACAATATGCTGATGCCATAAAATGGTTGTCGTGGGCCGTCATCCTTCTTGAGAAGGCTGGCGATGGAGCTGGTGCAATGGAGGTTCTGTCAAGTAGGGCTTCATGTTACAAAGAAGTAGGAGAATACAAGAAGGCTGTGGCTGACTGTACGAAGGTATGACCATTAACCATGCTTTGTTAGTGGAGCTAAGACCTCTATTGTCTTTTAGATGTTAATTTATGGTCATTTATTTGTAAATCACTGTTGATGGTATTTCATGGAAGTTTTTGCACCTCATTTTATTACAGACTTCTGCTTGAAACTGTAAGCTATAACAAATAAGCTTCCATGTCATCCTCGTTCTAGAAGAGTATTGGCTTGTTTACTCAATTTACCATAAACCATGTAGGGGAAAGTGGTATATACTAAAAGCACCCACCAGTAGGTACATCCCCCATATTTTCTTTTGTAAAGCCGTGCACAGCTTGACTGAATTTCAATGAAAGAAAAGGTTACAAAGTGACATAAACAAAACAATGTTCCATCCCTGTTTTACACATTTCACACGCTCTTTTGATTTTGTGTGATATAATCTTGGCTCTTCGGGTATCTGCATCGCATACGACGTCTTATGCCACCTGTGACGCTAATGAAGTTACAGTAGGTAGTACTCAAATATAGACGCTGCAAATGTAAAAACATCGCCACTATGTTGAAGTGCTCTATGTTATTGCAGACATACTTTATCTAGATGCATTTACTTGTCAAACATGTTTTTCCGTTTTGAACTAATAATTCAGATCGAGGACCTTAGTATGTATAAAATGCAGACTCGGAAATTGATGTTTCATATTTGGACCATGCTTTTACGAAAATGAGTAGCACCAATGCCTCCCGGGCTTTGCTCTAGTGGTAATAGCGCAGCATGTGTGGTTTAGGCATGCGGATTCAAATTTCAACCGCATTAAAAGCCTATTATTTAAGTGGAGAAGGATAGAGGGCTGGGCCATATTCATAGAGATTCGAACCTCCCCAGTGACGCTGGATATTTCTTGGATATAAAAAAATGATTAACAGTGAATTTTAAGTACCGAGACCCCTCATGATTGAGTACAATTTAGTAAGACTGTCATACATGTGATCAACATTTATGTAGCAAAATGAATTTAGAAAATGAACAGCCAAAAAAAAACATTAAAAGAAGGGGGGGTGGGGGTGTCTGGGTAAAATGGTTTCTTCCACTGCTAAACCCCAGGACGTGATATTAGGCAATCAAATTGGTCCTGTTGGAGTCCCTACTAATGGCAGCGAGAGGCTATATTCCGCCCCGCCTACATATTGCCTTTTTGTTGCCAAAGCAATCCACTCTAAGTGGCTAAGATGTGACTGTGTTTACATACAATCTGGTTTAACGCACTTTATGCTTCCTGTGAGTTACTACATTGATCAGCAAACTTAAACTTCCTCAGTTATTGCTAACCAGTATGCATTTCGAAAAATTTCTCTGGAAATAGTGTTAGAGTACTTGTAGTCAGAATAATGCTGTTTTATGTTACTTAAACTGTTTTAAACTTAAGCACGGAGATGGAATATTTTCCCCTGCAGCTTACTGCTAATAAGGTGTATACACACTATTATTGTTAAAATGGTTAATTTCACGAGGTATTCTCCTGATGCCTCTGGAAATAGAAATTAGAGACCTTCTTTAAAGTAACTTTTGCTTTTGTCATCTTCTGTGTGAAGCAAGTGCATGAATATATGAATATTACAGAAGAGAAGTTCAACAAAAGTAACTGGAGAAAGTCTTAGGAAAAAAAAATCTCATCATAAAAAAGATGAAAGTACTTGTGTTTTTCCAAACTGATGCATGGAACCCTTTTCCTTAACCTGTACGTAGAATGCTCTGGCTGATTAGATGCAAAGACTTCGCCTAATTGCGGCTGACCAAACTCTTGTGACTTTACTTCATTGAATGTGTTATCATGTGAATAAAGACTTATCTGCGTGCATTTGTTGTGCAGGTGCTAGAACAAGATGGCAAGAACGTTTCCGTTCTTGTGCAGCGTGCTCTTTTGTATGAGAGTATGGAGAAGTACAAGCTCGGGGCGGAAGACCTTAGAACTGTTATGAATATTGATCCTGCCAATAGGGTGGCAAGAAGTACCATACACCGTTTGAATAAGATGGCTGGCTAAGAGGCTTTGTCACATTAGCTCTGCTTAGCTTTTACTTGCAACATGATTTGAAAACTACTCCCCCTGCTATACCAATTCTGGGGAACTTTTACGTAGAAATTCTTTCAACTTTTTCAGGTTCTTGGTTTGTTACCTATTGTATTTTAATCATACTGTTGTTTGCCACTGTGAACTGTCATTTTAATATCTTGAAAATGCTTTGTACTTGAATCTGAAATACAGCATATTATTGTTTGATGTGTTCTCATGTGTTTGGTCAACTAGTCTGAGATTAAGGCTTAGTTGATTGATTGATGTGTGTGGAAGGTGTTAACTTTTGAGCTTAATTATGGTTGGAAAATATTTTAACTGTAAGCAAAGCCAAAAATGCAGTAGGTCAATATAGTTGTGTGGTAATAAAAACTGCTTCTTCTTTGTCTGGTCGTTGTAGCTTGGTTCAAATATCGAAAAAGCAAGCAGATGACAGATTATTGTTATCATGATTAAAATCATATTTTGCTGGAGTTCTCATTAGCAGAAAAAAAATATGATCCCATCTTCAGTTATTCTTATTCTTCACTATATATTGCTGTTACTTAATGCCACTCTCTTTTATTATTAAAGGTCATTAACATCTAAATCTAATCAAACTTAGCAAATGAGCTAACGATTTTATAGTGGTAAAAAAGTTTAATACTTGTGGAACATTCTCGTATTAAACAAATGAAGCAACAATTCTGCACAAGGGAACTCTTTTTGTATGGGATAGTCAATAGAGTTTAATTTAAGCTCTTCATAAAATCGTACTAGTATATAAGTGTAATACAACTTTCAACTTTGTTTTGAGGGAAGCAAATACACAAGCTGCTACTTTTGGGGAGTCCTTTTTTTTTTTTTGGTTTCCAACCCGGTATCTGGTACCCGCATTGGAGCCTAACAATATCCGGATTTGCGTCGCGTAGGACCCCATTCGGATCTTACCAAGGATTTTTTCATAGCCAGGGTTCGAACCTGAAACCTTTAGTTAAGGGAAGAGCAGTCTCATCCGCTGCACCATATCCGACGGTGGTCATTTTTGGGGAGTTAAATAATGAACATTGGGGGAATGAAATATGATAGGCATGTTAGTTATAGAAAAGAACAAGATTGAGAAACCTCCATCAAATGAAGACAGCATAGATGAGGGAAGCAAAGTCACGTTTTGTGAGAGAAAGATAGTTGAGTTATCGCCTGTTTCTCAGCAAGAAGCCATTCCTAATTACTTTTTAGCCCTAAATTTTTGCTTCCCAACAGAGTGGCTCTGTGCTCTTGCTGTTTGTTTGGTCACTTCTTCTGAGTGACGCCTTTTATTATTCTCAGCTTTCTGTCCTCTTTTGGCAGATTCACTCTTTTCAGTTACGTTTTTTTTCTTCAACTGACTCATCATCCCTTTTCTTCTTTCTCCAATCACATTCTCAACTTGTCATATTAGTAGCCACGGTCTCTCTCCTCTTTTATTCCTTGGTTCTTTATTACTTACTGTTTCACCAAAAAATATGAATATTTGGTTAAACTAATTAATTAAAAAAGATAAGGGGTTAATCCTAGTTAAAGATAATAACTTTAGATCTAAAATCGGTCTACCGGGATTACGTAGGACAGTGTCGGAACAGATTTAATGCAATATATATTAAATGTTCAAGGTCAATAACGGGATGAGAATAACAAGCATTAAATAACAATAAATGGCACTAAATGTAAATAAGGAGAATGATTCACCCAATATTGAATGAGGTGGATGATTCTTCCTTCTGACAATGATGTATGACAAATAACTATGAGAATATTGGAGACTTTCTCGGATCTGATGTGAAAAGTATAGAATAAACAACAAACGAATCTCTTTAGAAAGGTGGTATTTGTTTTATCTAGAGAGTCAACTTTTCAAGAGAGTTCTTCTCAGAATCAATAATATATGCCTTTCACCTTATCTCTCTTTCTATTTATATGGGACATACTCATAAGCCCTAAAAGTACAAGTACAGAAAATATCCAATGGAATATTCTCCTAAAAGGCCTTATTACAAAACTAGCCCTTACTATTGCTCTAAGCGTTTGACCTCGGCCATGATCGACTGCTCGGCGGTAAGTTCAATTAGTTATTAGTCGACCTCGACCAATTCCCTTCTAATAATACCTCTTCGTGCCGAATTCCCTTAGTTAGATTTTGACCCATACAGTTAGTCCCTCCGCTTATCGAGGTCGTCCCTCGGACGCCCTGGATGAGCGGACTTCGCTAGTCATAGTTGAAAGATTTTAGGTGCGCAGGTGGAGCAGTAACACTCATGGCAAGGTGATAATGTGGCGCTTCGTGAGCCACAACTTACCGTTACGTCACTTCAGAATGACATCATGAGTCATTATTGCACATTTTCCCGATGCGTTACGCAGTTTCCCGTGCCTCTGCCTTTTCGATATTTGTGCAGTGACGATTGGAATTTTCGATTAAGGTGCCTGGGTTTCTTATAAATAGGGATAAAAACCCTCTACTTGATCCTTTGTATTTCCAAGCATTCAAACCTCTATATCTCTCTTCTTCTCCATTATTCTTGATTTCTTTGTTTCCATCTTCATAGCCCAGTTTTCCCTGGTTTTAGCAATTTCTGCTACTCTTACCCCTACTGTGTTCGTAATTCTTTCACATATAAACAACCAAAGATGGTTAATGCAACTTCCACTTCTGGAGGGACCTCTGACTCGATTCCATTTGCAATTAGCAACCCCCCTCATGACGATGGGACTGCCATTGTTGCAGAGGATGAGAGTTTCCCCACCGTAGACGAAATAATCCCTCGCAAGGAAAAGGTTAGGTCGGACTTCTCTAAGCGGACCGAGGATGATCCTGAGCCCGTAGAATCTGAAATGGACGTGGCTATCCTTGCTGACTTTAAGGCCAAGTTCAGAATCACATCCCACATCGACTTAGTCCCGGTCGGCCGTGATGTAGTACAGGTTCACAACCATGGATATTGCGCATTCTATGCGTATCCGTTCCTTATGGACTATTCGATTCGCCTTATCTTATTGGCGAAGCAATTCTGCCGTTATTATGGCGTTTGCCCAGCCTAGCTTTCCCCTTACATCTACAAGCTTATCCTCATGTTGTCCGATAAGTGCATTTTACCAGATGTTAACCACATAATTTCTCTCATAAAAACATATAAATTATCATATTTCCTCCATATTTTTAACTTTATTTTGCAGGAATAATTATAGAAGAATTGTTGTGCGCAGCATGAAGAAAAATACAACAAAGAAGTGTGAAATCGAGCTACGATTCATTACTGCCGTGACAATGCACCAAGTCTCGATTTGCCATGATGAAATCTAAACTTAGAATTGCAGAATTCTCATCTCTGCAGTTTCAAAATCTTGATTTGCCATTGAAATCTAGCACCAAATCGAGAATTCAAATTCTCATATCTGCAACTGCACATCTAGATTTGCCATGATGAAATCGACGAAATCTAAACTTAGAATGACGAATTCTCATATCTACAAATGCAAAATCTAGATTTGCCATGGAAATCTAGTACCAAATCCAGAAGTCATCATGAAACTTTCTTATATAAGAAGATGTTGCTCGATCAGAGAAGGGCATCACAGTAGAGAGAAAGCTTAGAGCTAGAAGTCTGAATCCAAATTCTTAATAAGCTTCTCTGTTTTATTTCTTTTACTAGTATCGAGTTATCTTTTCTTTTAAATCACAATAGTGGTTTAGTTGTTGTTTCTAAATAAATTCCAGTGTAGGAAATTACTCTAGTTCCTGCTTTTAATTAAATAGGGGGAATTATTCTTCTTGAATATTTCTTTCTATTTTCTTATTTAATGGACAAGAATATTTCCATTGTTAGTACTAGTTCCAGTATGGAGTAACTTTTCTTGTGTTGGGAGAAAGACGGATCTTAATATTTCTATATAATAGTAGATATTATTCCTCAAATTCACATGCTTGAGCTAGAATTTATTTAACTTTTATCTGCTTTTACAGTTAGACGTTATTTAATTTATTAACATCTATCTATCTTGTACTACATATTAACTATTTATTAATTCTGTAATCGAGAGAGGCGGAAGAAATAATATAGTTAAATGTAGTATTGATAAATGCTAATATTTATTCAGTAACATCTATCTCTTTTATGTTATAATTAATTTTACACTTATTTGTAATCGAGAGAGGCGAATGGTGTAATAATCAGTTATAACAGGTAGGGTAACCGAAAGGGACTTACTATCAAGAGCATGTTTTAGTTCAATCATATATTTCTGGTTCTTTAGTATTACTATTTTGAAGATTAATTTTTATAACTGAGAGGAGTGCAATTAATTATTCAACTTGAGTAATAATATATATTTGTAATCGTGAGAGGCATTTATACCTTTTTGAGAAATAGAAATTGAAGAATAATAATTCTACTATATAATAGAAATATTAAGTGAAGTCAAGATCCCAACACCTTTTATTATATTTGTGAAAAACAAAATATTTTCTACTGCTCTATTCATGCATTTTTAGTTAGTTAATTTACAACTCAACTCTTTCTGATTTTCTCAAATAGTAATTAAAACAAGAAACGTCTGTAGAATAGATAAACCAATCTCTGTGGGTTCGACATCTTTCTATACTATAATTTGACAGAATACGAGTTTAATTTATACACACGCCAGACACTCGTCATTGTCAAAGTACGCGGAACTGGCTAGCTGCGGGATCTCTATTCGCCATCTACTACATATCTACGCGCCCAGTTTCCATAGGGGGACGATGTTACACCTTCGTCACCGTGGAGGCAAGAGTTTGGTGGTGAAGATGGACGATAAGGCCAATCGTCGGTTCTGGTTTAACTTTTTCTGCATCAAGATCGAGGACGTAATGACAAACACTAATGGATTTCCCGAAGCGTGGACTATGCTCGTAAGTACCTCCGCCGAATGTTCATTTCGCTTATTTCGGTAGTAGAAAAATCGTTCCATTTTCTATTCTTTTTTTTTTTGCTCAGCCGAGAAAGAGCCCCCTCTATTGGTTGCAGGCAATCATGACTGGGTCAGTTAGGTCTTTCCCCATATGGTGGGGATCCATGAATGGCCGACTTTCCACAAGAAATTTGGGCCCAAGCCCTCAGCGACTGGTGAGTTGCTTGCTTGAATTTTTGTTGCTTCGGCCTTTTGGTCGTCCTTTCTTTTTTGTATCTTAGGGGTTGACTTAACCCTGATTTTGTTGTTAGG